TGACAAAGGACAGTTGGATATACAGTGGTACCTCGGGTTACATACGCTTCAGGTTACAGACTCCGCTAACCCAGAAATAGTACCTCGGGTTAAGAACTTTGCTTCAAGGTGAGAACAGAAATTGTGCTCCGGCGGCGCAGCAGCAGCAGCAGCAGCAGCAGCAGCAGCAGCAGGAGGAGGCCCCATTAGCTAAAGTGGTGCTTCAGCTTAAGAACAGCTTCAGGTAAAGAATGGACCTCCGGAACGAAATAAGTACTTAACCCGAGGTACCACTGTATAAAGGTCCCCATTACCTCCAGTAGCTTAAAGGTAAAGGGACCCCTGACCATTAGGTCCAGTTGTGACCGACTCTGGGGTTGTGGCGCTCATCTTGCTTTACTGGCCGAGGGAGCTGGCGTACAGCTTCCGAGTCATGTGGCCAGCATGACTAAGCCACTTCTGGCGAACCAGAACCAGTCCTTTCAGTAGCTTAGGGCCTCATCAAACCAAAATCCAGCCGTGGACACATCACCAAGTTGACATTCACAAGTCGACATTCCAGAGTCGAATGCTGAAATCTGACTTAAGGGGGGCAAAACAAAACTCATATGTGTTTGTTTCAGATGAAGCCAATTCTCCCTAAGCCAACCATGGGTGTTGGCTGGGGTCCTACTTGTGCAAATGTCAAGCCCTGGTGCTTTCCAGGACTCTGCTAATTGGCCAGGCTTGGCTGAGAAAGTTGGGCCATTAAGGGAGGAAAAAGAAGAAACATATCCCAAAGAGTTTTCCTGTGGCTCTTATTATGATGATCATTTTTCAAAAGGAATCAGCATGCAGACCTGGATGGGAAGAGCCTCGTTCTTGGAGAACAATGAATAATGCATCCAATTGCCGGTGGCCCCCTGAACCTCACTCGACACTCGCTACTTCTCATAATTACATGAAGGAGTAGGCAGTGAGCCGAATGCATCCCTTCCTTGCAAATTCAAGTGGATTTTGAAAACAAAAATCTTCATGCAGACGCCTGGGCAGTTGGGTCTTCCAGATCAGAGATAGGAAGGCGTGCTAAGACTGACGTTTCTCAGCCCCTTTTGGCGAGAGGAAACTATGCGAGCCTAAATCAACCCACCCAGTGCTTTCAAGATCCACAGCAACATCCGCCAGGCTGTTAGGGCCGGCGCAAGACGCTTTGCTGGCTGCCTGAGGCAAAGAACAAGATGGCCCGTTTCCACATACAAACTCCAAACAGACAAGTGGTTCACTCTTATTTCAACACTGCTGATGGAACAATGTCCACGGTGTCTGAGAATAGCAGGCTGGGTCTATTAATTATTATTACTATTATTACCATTTTTTTGTTTAGTCGTTTAGTTGTGTCCGACTCTTCGTGACCCCATGGACCAGAGCATGCCAGGCACTCCTGTCTTCCACTGCCTCCCGCAGTTTGGTCAAAATCACGCTGGTAGCTTCGAGAACACTGTCCAGCCATCCCGTCCTCTGTTGTCCCCTTCTCTTTGTGCCCTCAATCATTCCCTGCATCAGGGTCTTTTCCAGGAAGTCTTCTCTTCTCATGAGGTGGCCAAGGTACTGGAGCCTCAGCTTCAGGATCTGTCCTTCCAGTGAGCACTCAGGGCTGATTTCCTTCAGAATGGATAGGTTTGATCTTCTTGCAGTCCATGGGACTCTTAAGAGTCTCCTCCAGCTTGTCTGCAGGAGTTGCCGGAAGGAGGCGTAGCAAGCCCAGGTGGTACGCGGCACAAAATTTTTTATGTCACCCCCCCCCTCCACATTGACAGCTCAGGGTAGGCTTGGGAGTCATGCGTGGGCACCAAATGTCACCCACTCTGGGTGACACCTGGAGTGGTCCGCCCTCCCTTCCTACGCCTCTGCGCCCCCACCGCTGTGACTCCCAAATACCCTGAGCTGTCGGGGAAAGGGGGAGAGCTATGCCGCTTTACCAGGGCACTGGCAAAGCTGCGCAGCTCGGGAGCCATGGCTTCTGTCCATCCCCCTCCCTCCCTCCCCGGCTCGCTGTAAAGTGGCAAAGCGGGGGTTGCTTACGGCGAGATGGGGAGGGAGGGAGGCTGGGAGGGGGGCCCCTGGCTTGCCGTAAGTGGCTCCTGCTGGCGGCGGAGGGATCCCACCACCGTCCGTACAGCGCTCCAGCAGCGCCGGTGGCAAACTGCTATGTACAGTGCATGTGCGGCATTGCTACGCACAGCGCATGTTTGTGACACCGCACATGCATTGTACATAGCAGTTTGCTGCCAGTGCCGCTCGAACGCCATACAGACAGTGGTGGGATCCTCCGTTCACGGCTGCAGCCATGAATGGAGGATCCTCCACATGCGGCTGTGGCTGCACCACCCTCCACCCCCACCTTGCTATTAGAATTCCTGCTCCATGATTGCAGTCATGGGATTTTTGTCTTTCACATGACGGTGTATGTTTTGACTCCACAGAGTGGGAAGTGACGGAGACAGGATGTTTGTGTTACTGTGTTCCATGAAGTGGGACTATTGTCCTTTGTTTTCTCTCTCTTTGCTGTCTGATGCTAGAGAGAGAGGGAGCCATGTTGCAGTGCTCTGTGTGTGTTTATATGTAAATAAAGTAGATTAGCCAAAATGCTGAGTTGCTGAGCTCTGTTACACAAGCTGCGAAGACTCTGCGGATCCCTAAGTGTGCCGAAGTCTGTTGGCATCGGTCTCTGTGATGTTTGGGCTGAAGAAAGCTTTTAAAGCTCCCGTATGATTGACCAGGAAGGAGAGAACATGTCAGTCGGGCATGTGTCTCTGCCATGAGCTCCTGACACTTGCGACGTCACTGTGTACGAGGCGCCAGCCAACCGCCTTAGGGACTCCACTCTGGACCTGTGTAGCGTTTACTCCTAGCCTTTCCTTCTCCCAAAGATATCCACAAAGGCAGCAGAGGTTTAGAATCAGTATTTTCTCCTAGGTAAGCTACCTTTCTATTATTTTAATTTATTATCTGCCAGTGTGGTGTAGTGGTTAAGAGCGGTAGTCTCGTAATCTGGTGAGCCGGGTTCGCGTCTCTGCTCCTCCACATGCAGCTACTGGGTGACCTTGGGCCAGTCACACTTCTTTGAAGTCTCTCAGCCCCATCACCTCACAGAGTGTTTGTTGTGGGGGAGGAAGGGAAAGGAGAATTTTAGCCGCTTTGAGACTCCTTAAAGGGAGTGAAAGGCGGGATATCAAATCCAAACTCTTCTTCTTCTTCTTCTTCTTCTTCTTCTTCTTCTTCTTCTTCTTCTTTGCCCATATATACAATTCAAAACTTCGTTACACTGTGGAACTTGCTCCCGAACGAGGCTGTGATGGCCACCAACTTTGAAGGCTTTAAAAGAGGATTGGACAGATTCATGGAGAGTGTTATCAGTGGCTACAAGCCCTGATGTGTATACTGTGCCTTCACGGCCAAAGGCAGCAATGCTTCTGGACTCGGATTTGCTGGAAATCACAGGAGGGGATGGTATTCTTGTGCTCAAGGCCTGCTTAAGGGATCACTGGCCTGATCCAGAAGAGCTCTTCTTATGTTCTTAGTTTAAAAACTTACCTTTCCAGAAAAATGTGATTATAAGAAAAAACCAACTTAGGTCCATTCCTTTCAATGGGTCTACTCTGTGTAGGACTTAGCTGAAGACAACCAAGGCAGTGTGTCGCAAGGCTATAACAGGCATGGCTCACCTTTGGCCTTTTAGATCAGGAACCATTTCCAACCCACTGGTCAGTCGAGCTCCATATTGTCTACATCAGAGCTTTCCAAACTTTGTGTCATGACACGTTAGTGTGTCGGCTGCAGTGTGTAGGTGTGTTGTGTGAACACTCCCCACGCTCCTCCTGGGGCTGGAAAGGGGTTAGTTTAACCTCCGGTTTGCTAGTAAAACTGAATTACCGCGTCGCGAAATGATGCGAAACTGAATTACTGTGTTGCGAAATGGTGCGTGGCTAAAAAGTGTGTCGCCAACATGAAAAATTTGGGAAGCTCTGGTCTACATCTCGGCTGTGAGTCCTGGAAGACCTGATCCCTGCCTTGCGGGCTTTTCCCCACCTGGCCTGGAAGGGCAGAGGCCTAACTTCAGCTACAAAAGCTGAGATGGCTGAACAAATGTTTAGGGTTTTTCGTTGCTGTTGTTGATACTAATTATATTTGCGTCTTTATTTTTAGACCTTACGATTTATGTGGGAATGACTCAGTTTGGTTGTGCCCTTTCTGTTGTGTTTTATTTATCGTTGATGACAACTTTAGTTACGTTTGCAATTATGCAAATCTCTTTACGTTGCAAGCTGACTCCAGCATAGTTTTAACTATGGAAAGGCGGCATACGTTTCCGAGCACAATTCCACCCCCATCGTTCTGCCCGGACACTGAGATCCAGCGCCAAGGGCCTTCTGGCGGTTCCCTTGCTGTGAGAAGTGAGATTACAGGGAACCAGGCAGAGGGCCTTCTCGATAGTGGCGCCTGCCCTGTGGAACGCCCTCCCAGCAGATGTCAAGGCAATAAACAACTATTTTACAGTGGTACCTCGGGTTACATACGCTTCAGGTTAAATACGCTTCAGGTTACAGACTCCGTTAACCCAGAAATATTACTTCGGGTTAAGAACTTTGCTTCAGGATAAGAACAGAAAGCATGCAGCGGCGGCGTGGCGGCAGCAGGAGGTCCCATTAGCCAAAGTGGTGCTTCAGGTTAAGAACAGTTTCAGGTTAAGAACAGACCTCCAGAATGTATTAAGTTCATAACCCGAGGTACCACTGCACTTTTAAAAGACAACCAAAGGTGGCCCTGCTTAGGGAAGTTTTTAATGTGTGACGCTGTATTGTTTTTAATATTCGGTTGGAAGCTGCCCAGAGTGGCTGGGGAAACCCAGCCAGATGGGCAGGGTATAAATAAATTATTATTATTATTATTATTATTATTATTATTATTATTATTATTACATGAAGGGGATGATGGCTGGCTGGAAGTAGCTCTCCAGGATTTCAGGCCTTCTCGGTCCTACCTGGAGATGCCATTGAAGGTTGAACCTGGACCTTCTGCATTCAAAGCAGGTGCTCTACCACTGAGTTATGGTTCTCCCACCATGCATAAGAGCTGGAAGGGTTCCTGGATTTTGCTGCCTTTGCTGGGCTGCTTATAACTTCATCAGCAGGACGGATGTGACAACCTCCTGCAGTTCTGGAAGGTGTCCTTGAACGGACGTCTTTCCATACTTTTGCGATCACCTTCCCACGGTCATGGGTGAAGACAGCCAAGCCTGTCTTCAAAAGATCTGGCAACCTCCTCTCTGTGTCACTTTATGAATTATTAGTTGGCTCCGGTCCAAGCAGGAGAGTGCAAACCTGTCTCTTTTTTCCCTCTGCCTGCTTACCAGCAGGAGGAAAGTAGGCTCAGAGAGTTGAAAGGCAAGCAGGTGCCGCCTGCGATCATTGGCAAAATCCTAGACCCTCGCCTCCCGAATGGAGGTGATTCAGGTCCCAGCGGCATTGCGGAGACTTGAAAAGAGAAATGCCCCTACACCACCGGAGACAGGAAGAGGGAGGGGGAGAGAAACTGTCTTCTTCTCCCACCCTGCTAACACGTAGCAGATTCAAGGCTTCAGGGAGGGCGTGAGTCTATAGAGCATTCGAAAGGATATTGCTGAACGGGAGGAATTCTAAGCACATACAGCCAGGTCCTTGCGGAAATGAGCTCTCATTGCAAGTCAGAACCCCAGCATCTCATAGAATCGTAGCGCTGTCGAGTTGGAAAGTCATCTAGTCCAGGGTGTAAAGCACAACAAAGATAATTACAAAATTGTATTATTTGCGGACGATTTCCTTTTATTTATTACAAAACCAGAATTATGGAGAAAATAAAAACCTTTTACAGAATATTGGGATATTCCATAAATTGGACAAAATCAGAGCCACAAAAAGATTCCATTGAGCACATGGATTGATAATATGGACAGATTAGCTACATACAAACGAATTGCATGTCGATGCAAAATAAGAACGGATAAATATGAAGAAATCTGGAACAACATTTAAGCGATAAGGCGGATAGTGATGGGAAGTATGGGGAGGAGAGAGAGGTGGGAAAATATTGTTTAAAAATGTGTAGTCATAGGCATATCAGTGTATTCAAATCTGAATTTTTAAATTATGTTATTATGGTTTTTGTTGTATGTGTCTTTTGCGGTTGATGTTTGTATATAAAAAAATGATTAAATAATAAAAAAAAGTCATCTAGTCCAATCCATGGCAATGAAGATGACCTGTCCAAGTTCAAACAATGACAGAGTGGTAGAAGGGTCCTCCATGAAAGTTATCCATCCTGTTAGACCAATGTTGGGGGAGATTTTCAGCCAGAGGGCCACATTCCCTTCTGGGGGCCACATGCCAGGGGTGGGGAGGGCCAGAGACAGAAGCCGGTAGATTTTAGCCTTCTCCGTCAGTCTACATAAACTAACAATGCGTCTCTCTTTCCAGCAAAGTTATACTCGGGGTAGACCCATTGAAATGAATGGACCTTGCTTATTCATGTGCAGAAAAGGGTGACCATGATGACCAGGGGTCTGGACATCAAGCCATATGAGGAACGTTTGAGGGAGTTGGGTGCGCTTAGCCTGGAGGAGAGAAGACTGAGAGGATGCTCACACATCCATATGAAAGACAGAGCCAGCTTGTTTTCTGCTCCTCTGGAGGGTAAGATCTGAACCAATGGACTCAAGTGACACGTCAGGAGATTCTTACTAAACAGCAGGAAGTACTTTCTGATGGTAAGAGAGATACATTTTGAAATTTTTAGTTTCTTCTCTAGCATGGTGAATCGTCAGTTCCATTGCTACCCCCGATGGTGGCCTCATTTCCTGTCATGTTTTCCTGAATCTGCGAATGTGCGAAGTAGGAGTTGGAATCTAGCACGGTGATTAGTCAATTTCATTGTTGTTGTTGTTTAGTTGTTTAGTCGTGTCCGACTCTTCGTGACCCCATGGACCAGAGCATGCCAGGCACTCCTGTCTTCCACTGCCTCCCGCAGTTTGGTCAAACTCATGCTGGCAGCTTCGAGAACACTGTCCAACCATCTTGTCCTCTGTCGTCCCCTTCTCCTTGTGCCCTCCATCTTTCCCAGCATCAGGGTCTTTTCCAGGGAGTCTTCTCTTCTCATGAGGTGGCCAAAGTATTGGAGCCTCAGCTTCAGGATCTGTCCTTCCAGTGAGCACTCAGGGCTGATTTCCTTAAGGTTTGATAGGTTTGATCTTCTTGCAGTCCATGGGACTCTCAAGAGTCTCCTCCAGCACCATAATTCAAAAGCATCAATTCTTTGGCGATCAGCCTTCTTTATGGTCCAGCTCTCCAATTTCATTGTATTTACTATTTTTATTTCCCCCGATCTGAACTATAAAATGGTGATTTTCTTGAGTCAAAATGAGAGCACCCCTAAACATTTTTTTAGAAGAAAAGCATTGCATTCATACCTTGAAATGCAGACCTACACAAATAAGTTTCTTTATTACATTTCCAAGCCCACTTTACAGCCCACAATATTGTCTTTGATGAACGTTCTTCTCAATCGCAATCATGAACCTTGCAACGTTGCCTGTCATGAACTTGTCAGAGTCAGACAGCAAATATGGGATCTTCACTTGGCCGTCCACATCATGCATCTTACACAATCGTTCACAAATGGGCTTAGCTCTCGGGTTCAGAATATATGTGTCAGGGATGCCTTAGCTGTGATTCCTGCATTGGAGTCCCTCACAACTTTACAGATCTATGATTTAAGGTTGAATGGGTCTACAGTGAGTAGGACTAGCACGGGATACCATTCTGTGTGCGAAAGGCAGGAGAAGCAGGGTCTCCTTTAGACTGATGGATGAGTAGCTCTGCCCTGCCTTGTTTTCTATTGCAGAAATGGCTAAACTCTTTCAAGCCAAGGGCCACATTGACCTAGAGCCAACCCTCCAGGGGCCACATGCCTTATTCACACTTCTCCAAGCAATATGTGAATTGAAAGAGCACCTATCCTCTGAAACCTGTGCTTCTCTGACTTTTGCAAAGCAGCTCATCAGCAACAGCAGGTTTTAAAAAAGAATGTATTAGGCAAAAACATGCAAAAGGTGCACATAATTGAAAACAGCATTTTATTTGGCGGGAGGAGAGAAAAAACATTTGTAAAAAAAATGTGCACGCTAGGTAAAATTGGGTAGAAAAGTGTGCTTGTTCCGTGTTTTGTGGAACAGCATCCCTGTTGAGCTGTGACAGGTGCCTGCGATCTGTAATTCCTGAAAACGATCGGAGATGTTTTTGTTTCGGCAAGCTTTTCCAGCTGGATGAAAAAGCGGCGTGTACAAAGACAGGAACCCAGGAAGATGCCTTATTCCTGGGAACTGAGCCTGGGACCTTCTGCATGCAAAGCAGTTGCTCTGCCACTGACCTTCACCGTGAAATAAAATAAGATTCCAGTCCTCAAGGCTCTAATTACTGTATTTTTTGCTCTATAAGACTCACTTTTTCCCTCCTAAAAAGTAAGGGGAAATGTGTGTGCGTCTTATGGAGCGAATGCAGGCTGCGCAGCTATCCCAGAAGCCAGAACAGCAAGAGGGATCGCTGCTTTCGCTGCGCAGTGAGTGATCCCTCTTGTTGTTCTGGCTTCTGAGATTCAGAATATTTTTTTTCCTGTTTTCCTCCTCCAAAAACTAGATGCGTCTTGTGGTCTGGTGCATCTTATAGAGTGAAAAATACGGTATAGGGTTGGTTTACACAGGAAGACAGGAAGTTGCTTTCGATAAAGTCAGACCATTGTCTACACCAACTGGTAGCAGTTCCGCAGGTTTTCAGCCAGGGGTCCCTACAGAAGATGCTGCCTGGGACCAAACATTCTGCATGCAAAGAACCCGCTCTAACCACTGATCCTTAACCCCCCTCTGCTTTAGTGTTCGGTTTGTGTTGCTTTTAAAACTACCTTTAGTTGTTTTCTACAGTATTTCTAAAACTGCTTTCAGCAGTTTTTTATGGTATGTTTGCAAGTGAGACTCAGGTAAAAGGAGATCAATAAATTATTATTGGTTGTGATTCCTTCACTGCTCTGGGTCGGGTCAGATGACCCCTTGCGTCCTTTTCAACTCCAGCATTCTGTGATTAATATTAATACTAATAATAGACTGTTAGAAGACTTTTCATGTACAGATTTTCATGCTGATTTGTTGCTGTTTTTTAAAAAAACAAATTTGCAACCTCCTGTGGAAAACAGGGCAAGCTGTACTAAAGACTGACCCCCTCCACCCCCCAAAATTGACTACATCCATTCAGTTCCAGACAAATCCATTTCCCAGAAATATGAAATGTGGGGGGATTATATATGTCAATATACCTTCTGACCACTTTGGACCAGGGCCAGCACCTCTCGGAATATCCTTTTCAACTGCCTTCCATTCTCCTGGTGACATTTTGCTGCTTGTGATCCTAATTGAATGTAATTGCTTCCACCGAAACCTTTGGGAAGTCCCTTGAAATAAGCAAAGCGTCAATATCGCTGGTCTTTGGGGGTCACACGTGCACGTGTGTGCGTGTGTCCTCACCCCCACCTCATCCACGTCTATCCAAAGAGCGACAATTAATTTTTTACAAGCTAATCATCTCCCTTAGGCAGATTGTCAGCGGAGGACCTGTCATCTCTCATCAATAATGAAACAATCGCCGTGATCCCTTTCTCCCCCCCCCTTCCCTCCCCAGCGTCTCTGCATTATTCAATTCCAGAGCTTCAAATGCAGGGCCAGGCAGGAGCACTTTAATTGATGTCCTTTGTAATTACCTGGTGAGAGTCATATGGGCTGAAGGCAAGCGAAGGCAATTGGCTACCTGATTTATGATCTACGGCTCACACGCCTGTCTCCGTTGTCAGATCTCTGTGTGTGAGGCAAAACGCAGCGATAGCCACCTGAGCTGGTAGGATGGGCACACACACACACGCCCCACTCTTTCTGGATACCTTTTTAAAATGTTCCCCAACAGACTGATTTCAAAGTATTTATATCCTGCTCTTCAGCCAGAAAGGCTCCCAGAGCAGCTGATAGATCTTCAAAAAAGAAACCAACCAACAAACCACCCACAAAACAAGACAGGCTGTGCTTGTAGGCCTACGATAGAAACAGACACAGCACAAAAGGAGAATGTGGAGGGCAGGTAAGAGGAAAACCAAGCAGCCTCAAGTACCTCACCTCGAAAAGGATATTGTAGCACCGGAAAAGGTTCAGAAAAGAGCAATCTGAATGGTCAAGGGGATGGAGCAACTGAATTTGTCTACAGTGGTACCTCGGGTTACAGATGCTTCAGGTTACAGACTCCACTAACCCAGAAATAGTACCTTAGGTTAAGAAATTTGCTTCAGGATGAGAACAGAAATCGTGCAGGAGGCCCCATTAGCTAAAGGGATTTGATCTCCTGCTTTATCACTACCCGAAGGAGTCTCAAACCAGCTAACATTCTCCTTTCCCTTCCTCCCTCAAAACAAACACTCTGTGAGGTGAGTGAGGCTGAGAGACTTCAAAGAAGTGTGACTGGCCCAAGGTCACCCAGCAGCCGCATGTGGAGGAGCAGAGATGCGAACCCGGTTCACCAGATTACGAGACTACTGCTCTTAACCACTACACCACACTGGCTCTCCACCAGGTATACAGGAGCACCAACACTTTGAATTGTGCTCAGAAATGTACTGGGAGCCAGTGTAGTTCTTTTAGGACCAGTGTTATATATATGTACAGTGATACCTCGGGTTAAGAACTTAATTCGTTCTGGAGGTCCGTTCTTAGCCTGAAACTGTTCTTAACCTGAGGTACCACTTTAGCTAATGGGGCCTCCCGCTGCTGCTGTGCGATTTCTGTTCTCATCCTGAAGCAAAGTTCTTAACCCGGGGTACTATTTCTGGGTTAGCGGAGTCTGTAACCTGAAGTGTCTGTAACCTGAAGCGTATGTAACCTGAGGTACCACTGCATATACAGAGTTAGACCATTGGACCATTTTGCTCCGTGTTGTCTGTAATTTAGCAGTCTGGGGTTCCAGGTAGGAGTCTCTCCCAGGTCTACTTGGTGATGCCACAGAGATTCAAACCTGATACCTTCTGTATGCAAAGCAGACACTCCAGGGCTGAGCCACAGCCCTTAAGCAACCTCCACCTGCCTCCAGAGGAAAGTGGGGCAGATCAGTGAGGATGTTTTGGACCCCTCCCTGCCCCCACTGTTTGCATCGCTCTGTAACCTGGTTGACAAAGATTAAGCCCTGTCTCCCAGGGCAATGCGGGAGATAGCTCCTCCGATGCCATCACCACCACTGCTGCCTTAATGCTCCTCATTTCCATGGTTCCAGGCTAATACTGCCACATTTGCATTTAAATGGAGGCCTGGGAGTCCGTAAATCTCCATTTTCTCAGCAAGTGGGCATAATGGCGGTTTAATCACGTTCGGATGAGACCCCCTCGGAGCATCAATCCACGGAAAAGATGAGAGGGGAGCTATCCAGTTCGGTCAGCGTAGGAGCGAGAGAGCTCCTCATCTCCCCAAGGCCTGATCGAGGTGAGCGGTGAGGAATGGGTGGGGGAAAAGATCCCACGTTTTGGCTCCAGGGAAGCTCTGGGGAACGTGGGCTTTGAATATCAACTTCGAGAGAAGCAAGCTGCCGGGGAAGATGGATGGCTGTTGCCAGAAACACCCGCCCCACATTGCTTTCTCTCGCCGCAACAGCGAGTAAGTAAAAGGAAAAAAAAGAGAAAAACTCGCAGGAGCTGGGAAACATCAAGCACCACCGCCCATAGCAGAGTGCTCATAGAATCATCTAGTCCAGGGGTGGCCAACTCCCAAAAGACTGTGATCTACTCACAGAGTTAAAAACGGGCAGTGATCAGTGATCTACCCCTTTTTGGGGGGTTCAGGTCATAGTTACATAGTTGTCGAGCTTTTTTTAGGGGGGAGGAAAGCAGGGCTAAAATCATGAGCTTTTAAAAAATTGTTGAGCTTCTTTGGGGGGAGCCAGTGATCTACCAGAGACAATCAGTGATCTACCGGTAGATCACGATCTACCTGTTGGACATGTCTGATCTAGTCCAAGTGCCTGCGGTGGGAAAATGCAGCTGTCCTGCATGGGGATCGAACCTGCAACCTTTGCATCAGTAACACCACCAACTGAGCTATCCAGGTTACATTAGGACGTAAGAGAGACCAGAGTTTGAATCTCCCCACTTGGACATGAAGCTCACTAGCTGACCTCGGGCGCTAGTCTCTGCCTCTCAGCACAACTGTCAGGTTTCAGGGAATTCTATGCCAAGAAGCAGATAAACAAGAAGAGTTCTTACCAGTAGTTTATTCAATATTCACAAAGAGAGACAAAGGAATGCTGTCTCCCTTAGATAATGGCGTTGCTCCAAGTAAAGTCCCACTCCCTCAGTCCCTCCTATTCTACGTCACCCCTGTGCTGGCTGATCTGTGCTTTCTGCCTCTGAGCTTTCTGTTCTCCTACTCTCAGGGCACGCCTGGTCCTAGGAGAGGGGGGTCAGGAATACTTTCTGGAGACACTGAGCCTGTTAGCTGTCTCTCCTCCGGGTCTTTTTCTCCCTCCTGCTCCTCTCCCAATATTTCCCAGCTTCTCCCCTCTGCAGCCTCTGAACTGTGACCTTCTGCGAACCACTGTTCTAAATCTCTACTGTCCTCCTCTTCTCGGGAAGGTCCCTACCAGTCCTCCTTAGTCCAGCCCCTGACAACAGCCTACCTCATAGGGTTGTTGTGGCGCTTAAATGAGAAGGGGGAGGGGAAAAAGCCACCTATGGCAACTCAAGCTCATTGAAGGGAAAAAGGTGGCATTTCAATCATTGAATAAATATACAGTGGTACCTCGGGTTACAGACGCTTCAGGTTACAGACACTTCAGGTTACAGACTCCGCTAACCCAGAAATAGTACCTCGGGTTAAGAACTTTGCTTCAGGATGTGAACAGAAATCACGCAGCAGTAGCATGAGGTCCCATTAGCTAAAGTGGTAACTCAGGTTAAGAACAGTTTCAGGTTTAGAATGGACCTCCAGAACAAATTACCGTATTTTTTCCTCTATAAGACTCACTTTTTCCCTCCTAAAAAGTAAGGGGAAATGTGTGTGCATCTTATGGAGCGAATGCAGGCTGCGCAGCTATCCCAGAAGCCAGAACAGCAAGAGGGATTGCTGCTTTCACTGCGCATCGATCCCTCTTGCTGTTCTGGCTTCTGAGATTCAGAATATATTTTTGTTTGTTTTCCTCCTCCAAAAACTAGGTGCGTCTTGTGGTCTGGTGCGTCTTATAGAGCGAAAAATACGGTAAATTCTTAACCCGAGATACCACTGTAATCTCAAAACAAAGCTGCAGCAAGTTTTGGGCACCTTGAGGTCACTAGCTATTGTGGCTACCTACAGCCTCCACGGTTGGGGCAGTTTGCCTTGGAATCTGAATTGCCAGGAATCCCAAAGCAGGGAGATGACACTTATAACTCTGCAGTTCCCTTTGCCCTCACACTCTCCTGGAATTCCAGTTTGGCTAGATGGATTTCTACAATCAAATTCCAGAATCGGGACATGCACAGCTTGCGACAGCGGACTGCAGAACCTCTCCAAAATCTTTACCTGGCTTGTATCAAGGTTCTGTTGGGTTCTTTTGTATTCTGTTGGAGGCAACCCAGTCATATGGTCAGGGTGCAAGTAACAAATTATTATTATTCATAAAAACACAAGGAGAGCTTGCTGCATCAGGCCAATGGCTTAATAGTCCAACATCCTGTTCTCATGAGACCTGTGGGACAGTGGCAAACAGAACCCAAGAACACGAGCATTTAGGATCGCTCAGTCGGTAGAGCATGAGTCTCTTAATCTCAGGTTCATGGGTTCAAGCCGAACGTCAGGCAAATATTCCTACATTGCAGGGGGTCTACATTGTGGTCCCTTTTAACTCTGATTCTATAACTCTCCCCTCCTGTGGTTTCCAGAAATTGGCATTCAGATGCACTGCTGCCTCTGACCCTGGTTTTTAGGTATTTGGTACAAGTCTCATCACCTCTCCCCCACAGCCGATCACTGCCATCCGTTCTGCAAACTCACACAAATGTCACATGGCAACTCCTCAATTAGTCCTCTCCCACTGAGGATCTGATCCTCTCAGATTAGTCTCTGTTTGCTCAGTGTCTCTGAAGGCTAAAGCACTTAACACAAATGCCTGGTATTAATCACAGCGTTCCGGGTGGATGGATGGTGATCTTCCCTGTCCTGTCAGCTGAGATCTCAAAAGTGAACCTCAAATGAGTTAAATGCCAGTCGGCTGATCAAACAGAGTCCAACCAGTCTTCCAGGTGCGTTCATTCTGGAGCAACCTCCCCCAGAATAAGGTGCCCCTCCACAATGCCTATCACCTTGAGCCAATCTGGGAGCTGAGGTTCAACACATCTGTAGGTAAAAGGCAAAAGGCGAAAGGTGAAAGGTGAAAGGACCCCTGGATGGTTAAGTCCAGGCAAAGTTGACTGTGGGGTTGTGGTGCTCATCTCGCTTTCAGGTCGAGGGAGCCGGCGTTTGTCCACAGACAGCTTTCCGGGTCATGTGGCCACCATGACAAAACCAGTTCTGGCGTAACAGAACACTGTGATGGAAACCTGAATGCACAGAAACACCATTTACCTTCCTGCCACAGTGGTACCTATTTTTCTACTTGCACTGGTGTGCTTTCGAACTGCTAGGTTGGCAGGAGCTGGGACAGAGCAATGGGAGCTCACTCCATCACGGGGATTCGAACCGCTGACCTTCCGATTTGCAAGCCAAGAGTCTCAGTGGTTTAGACCACAGTGCCACCTGCGTTCCCTACATCTGTAGGGCATCCATTTGGGGAAGAGTATAGGAAAACCCCCACTTTATTTTGAAGCTTGGAAGGCACACACAGGAATCATTGGTCCATGTAGCTCAGTGTTGGTTACACTGATTGGCAGTGGCTCTCCAGAGTTTCAGGTGGGAATCCCTCCCAATCCTACCTGAAGATCTTGTCAAGAAATAAACCTGGGACCTCTGATGCTCTCCCACTGAGCTCCGGCCCTCCTCTGAAGACATAGGAGCCTTGGAAGCTGCCTTCTGAGTTGGACCCTTGGTCCATCTAGCTCAGTGTTGCCTACACTGGCTGGCAGCAATGGTTGTCCAGGGTTTCAAGCAGGGGACATTTCAAGCAGACCTACCAGAAGATGCTGCTGGGAACAGAATCTGAGACCTTCTACATTCAAGGCAGATGTTCTGTCACTGAATTTCTGGGCCTTACCTGAAGACAAAGGAAGCTGTCTTCTGAGTCGGACCATTGGTTCAACTAGCTTAGTGCAGGCAGTACTAGACTGGCAGTGGCTCTACAGGGTTTCAGGCAGGGGATACTCACAGGGTTCCCTCCCAGCTCTACCTATCTGGGACCTTCTGCTTTCATGACAGATGTCCTGTCATTAAACCACAGCCCTTCTCCTCATGCTTGACAGGTTTTCCCTCGAAATTCAGTGAGATTTGATTCCTGGCTGTCATTGGAACCCACACTCACCAGGGGTTTGGCCCCAGGACCTGGATGACCCTGCCAGTGCACTGAGATCATTTCCTGAGACTCTGATCCAGGTGACTGGACCTTCATAGGTGAGGTGGGAGGCTGTCAGAACCACTGCCTTTTCTGTTGTTGTTGTTTTTTAGTCGTTTAGTCATGTCCGACTCTTCGTGACCCCATGGACCAGAGCACGCCAGGCACTCCTGTCTTCCACTGCCTCCTGCAGTTTGGTCAAACTCATGTTCGTAGCTTCGAGAACACTGTCCAACCATCTCGTCCTCTGTCGTCCCCTTCTCCTTGCACTCTCCAGCTTTCTCACCATCAGAGTCTTTTCCAGGGAGTCTTCTCTTCTCATTAGGTGGCCAAAATATTGGAGCCTCAGCTTCAGGATCTGTCCTTCAGGATCTGTCCTCAGGGCTGATTTCCTTAAGAATGGAGAGGTTTTATCTTCTTGCAGTCCATGGGACTCTCAAGAGTCTCCTCCAGCACCATAATTCAAAAGCATCAATTCTTTGGCAATCAGCCTTCTTTATGGTCCAGCTCTCACTTCCATACATCACTACTGGGAAAACCATAGCTTTAACTATACGGACCTTTGCTGGCAAGGTGATGTCTCTGCTTTTAAAGATGCTGTCTAGGTTTGTCATTGCTTTCCTCCCAAGAAGCAGGCGTCTTTTAATTTCGTGACTGCTGTCACCATCTGCATTGCCTTTTCTGTAGTTGCACCCATTTCTGGAATGCCTTAAAAGATATTCACCTGCTCTTAACTAGCTCATCAGTTCTAAGTATCTAGTCTGCTAAGTAGTGGCTTGTTGGCGCTACGGCTCTAGCCTCCTCACAACTATCTTGTTGGTGCTATGAATCTAGCATGTTCAAAACTAGCTTGTTGGTGCTACAACCCTAGACAGCTCGTAACTAGCTTGTTGCTGCTACGGCTCTAGCCTGCTCGTAACTGGCTTTTTGGCACTACGGCTCTAGCCTGCTCGTAACTGGCTTTTTGGCACTACGGCTCTAGCCTGCTCGTAACTGGCTTGTTGGCACTACGGCTCTAGCCTGCTCGTAACTGGCTTGTTGCCGCCACGGCTCTAGCCTGCTCATAACTGGCTTGTTGGCACTATGGCTCTAGCCTGCTCATAACTGGCTTGTTGGCACTATGGCTCTAGCCTGCTCGTAACTGGCTTGTTGGCACTATGGCTCTAGCCTGCTCGTAACTGGCTTGTTGGCACTAGGGCTCTAGCCTGCTCATAACTGGCTTGTTGGCACTATGGCTCTAGCCTGCTCGTAACTGGCTTGTTGGCACTACGGCTCTAGCCTGCTCGTAACTGGCTTGTTGGCACTACGGCTCTAGCCTGCTCGTAACTGGCTTGTTGGCACTACGGCTCTAGCCTGCTCGTAACTGGCTTGTTGGCACTACGGCTCTAGCCTGCTCATAACTGGCTTGTTGGCACTATGGCTCTAGCCTGCTCGTAACTGGCTTGTTGCCGCCACGGCTCTAGCCTGCTCATAACTGGCTTGTTGGCACTATGGCTCTAGCCTGCTCGTAACTGGCTTGTTGCCGCCACGGCTCTAGCCTGCTCGTAAGTGGCTTGTTGGCGCTACGACTCTAGCCTGCTCATAACTGGCTTGTTGGCACTATGGCTCTAGCCTGCTCGTAACTGGCTTGTTGGCGCTACGGCTCTAGCCTGCTCATAACTGGCTTGTTGGCACTATGGCTCTAGCCTGCTCGTAACTGGCTTGTTGGCGCTACGACTCTAGCCTGCTCGTAACTGGCTTTTTGGCACTACGGCTCTAGCCTGCTCGTAACTGGCTTGTTGCCGCCACGGCTCTAGCCTTCTCATAACTGGCTTGTTGGCACTACGGCTCTAGCCTGCTCGTAACTGGCTTGTTGCCGCTATGGCTCTAGCCTGCTCGTAACTGGCTTGTTGGCGCTACGACTCTAGCCTGCTCACAACTAGCTTGTAGGTGCTACAAATCTAGCCTGTTTGTAACTAGCTTGTTGGTTTTTGCTTTTCAGTTCTAGGACTCTAGCTTGCTCATAATTAGCTCGTCAGCGCTATGAAATAAATGAGCCTGCTCCTAACCAGTTCTTCGGTTCTAGAAATCAAGCCTGTTCATAACCTAGCATGTCAGTGCTGCAAATCTAGCTGGCTTGTAATAGTTCTCAAATGTATAATGAGTCTTGGCACTGTTATGCTGAAATTCTTAATATAGTTGTCAACAAAAACAAGACTAAATATGAGCTATTATTGCACGTGTGCAGACTGAGTGGCTGGCTCCTGTTTTTCCTTTTTCCCAGCTAGTCTGCTAGTTTTATCAAGAGGATGCCTAGCTGTGCTTTTGCTTTTAAAAACCAGGGAAAAGATGCAAAACCGTGGCCTATTTGCAGCCAAGATTTCCATATGTAAATGTATGCAAAAAGCAGCAGAGTGAGGCCCCTGGGGTGGGGGTGGGGGAGAACGTGGGAAGCAAAGTTTATTTCTCCCAACAGAGAGAGAGAGAGAGAGAGAGAGAGAGAGAGAGAGAGAGAGAGATCGGAAGAGCTGTATACAAAATGTGAATGAATTAGTTTTGGGGGAATCAAAATGCACCAAAACAATGCTAGTTTGGGTGTGCAGTTAACAAACGCAACCTTGATGCATGGTGTAGGCTGGCTTGAAAATGTTCGTAGAACAGCTGTGAGCTTTAAGAGAGGGATTCCAAGTCAACCTCATCACTCTCCTCTTTTGTCTGATATTTTGGAGCCTCCTTTAAACTGAGCAAAAACATATTCTCAGTCTGCTGAAGCGTTTGCGAGTACCCTGAAAGATGAGATGATCTTGGATAAATATTTGATGATATTGTAGCAGCTGCCGGCCGGCCGCTCGTGATACCGTTACAGCTGTAACAGCAAGTCTTGCCACGTCTTTTATGCCCTCGTCACAACCTCGTCGGCTGAATTCACTGGGAACCAACATTTTCTGTTTCATCTCAAATGGAGGCCACACACGCATACACAAATATTTAAATCTGGGAGAGGGGGGTCACTTTTTACTGCACTTACTGGAACCAGGATGGCCAATGGTCCACAAAGGAACACCCAAAGGTCATCTAGCCCCCTCCCACAATGCAAGGATCCCAGGTCAGAAGACTCCTGCCTGAAAGCTGCAGAGAGTGGGTTTAACAGTTAACCCTTTGTCCCCTGGAACTGTAGCTCCTTGTGGCGGGTAGGGGGGTCTCCAAACAACTCTTAGCACTCATAACAAACTACAGTTCCCAGGATTCCTTGGGGGAAACCATGACTGCGAAAACGCTACAATGCTACTTCAAATGCATAGCGGAGACAGGGCTTAAATCAGACGATCGAGGTCCATCTAG